CCGATCTTTTTTTTTTTCCCCCTTCTATTTCAACGTTCACAGAAGGACAGAAGAGGAAAAAAAAAACAAAAGAACAAAAGGATGAAACTGTAAAGTTACTAAATTTAAAAGTACAAAAATGCCCCTTGCTCTACAAGTTAGCCCCCGCTAACTCCTTTAGGCGTCCAACAATAGGCATATATTTCGCACACTTTTTCTTTTTGGATGTCTACAGATCAAGATTGAATGGTAGAAAACAATGAAGGGACGCTTTTTTCCCCTACCGGTAGGTGATTTTAAAGTGCTCTCAGACCAACAGATCAAGATTGAATGGTAGAAAACAATGAAGGACTACCAAATAAAATAAAACCTTCCACACATAAGTATTACAATATAAATTTTAAAAATAAAATAAAATAAAATAAAAAACAAATATGAGTTTCTTCTTATGTTCTTCCCCTATCCACCGTCAGACCAAAGCTCTTCCCCCACCGGAGAATAAACATCGCACCATTAAACAAGATCAAAGACAATCAAAATGAGAATTGAAATTAGAAAAAAAGAAAAAAAAAAAAGGAAAAACAACTCAGACCAATGGGAAATTAGTCAAAAAAATTCAGTAGAAATTTCAAGAAGTAAATAGATCAGAAACTTGTTATCTTTGATCGAAGAAATAATCCAACATAGAATTCCCCATAAACAAATTGAAAGAACGAACATTTATTTGACAATTGGGTATTTTGATTTTCACAAGAATTGAGGATGGCTGTTGTTGAAAAAGACTGTAAGTGCTGGACTTTTTCGGACACTTTTTTTTTTTTTTTTTTTTTTTTTCTTATCCGCTATCTCAATCCCGTCGACCCCTCGCAAACACAACGGAGACGTCCAAGGATTCGGGGAGGAGACCAAACGATGGGGAAATCATTGCCAAAAGATTTGAATCTTTGATGCCAAAACGGTTGAAATATCCTCACCGACAACGAACTTGACTTCGCCCTCACCACGACCTTGCCTGATACGAGCCCCACGAGTCTCTCCTTGTCGCCGCCGTCATCCACAGATCTGACGAAAATTTTGATGGAGAAAATACTCAGGCTCTAAGACTTCTAGTCATTAGAAAAGGTGGTTGTACCGGCGCAGACGTTGGGGGAGGATAGCCGTGGGAGAAAGGGCGAGATCGCGTCGTCTTGGTGCTGGCGCAGTCGGAGGACATGGCTTCTGTCGAGGAGAAGCGAGATGGAGTATTACACTTGAAAGGTGAATATGATTAGGTGCAGCTGTTCTGATGTTTATTTCTATAGGGAAGACGATCTTAGACCGTAGATTTTTTATCCAACAGTGTATAGGATTTCACCCTATCGGTAGAGGAAAAAAGCGCTCCCTACTATAGACGTCCTCTTTTTTTTTTTTTTTTTCCCCCTTGTTAATCATCAAAAATTAAATTAAGAGCATGTAAAAAAAATCATTTTTTTTCTCAAAAATAAGAAAAATAGAAATTCGGTAAGACCACGAGGCTCCTCATTCCTCAACACCTCAACCCCTCCGCCTCTCTCTCTCTCTCTCTCTCTCTCTCGCGGTGGTGAGCCACACTCGGCTACCACCACCACAACCACCGTCGTGGTCCTCTCTCTCTCCTCCTCTTTCTCTCTCTAGAATCACAGAGCAACCGCCGGAGCCACCGCAGCACTGCCCTCTCTCCAAACTTAGTTGTTCGCGTCGTTGGATCCTGTCGTCGACAATTTCTCGTGCACAGAGCGAGACGCAATAATGCCGGCTCAGAAGCGCTCCCACGATGCCTCCGAGGACGACGATCCCATGGAAGACGCCAACCTCGACGAAGCTCATCACCACCCCGCCGACGACGACCAGGGTACGTCTCTCTTCTTTTTACCCCCCTCGAAATTCTCTTCTCGTGCACAATACGGTTTTTTCTTTCTTTTCGTTTTTCTCCTGATTCTCGCTTTCATTGTTCATGGCGTATCGCAGAATCCGATCGAAGCCCTTCTCCGTCCGACGAGAACAAAAACGAGTAGGCTTTCTTTCTTTCTTTTCTTCTTTCTCTCGTTCACACACGAAACACGCACTTCTCTTCTTCTTTATTCTTTCTTCTTCTGATTCGGACGCGGTTTCCCCAACTGTTTGATGCCTGAAAAACCGGGTCTAATTCTCGATCCGCCATGGTTTTTTCTTCGTTCGAACTGCTTTGTTTATTCTCCTGCTCGGAGCCGTTATTCCGTGAGTTCGTTGCCATGGTCTTCTTCTTCTTCTTCTTCTTCTCTCTTTCTCTCGTGATGGAGTTTAAGGATGGAGGTTTGACGAGTTGGGTTCGTGGATCTTCCTCGTTTATGGTGATTTCGTGGCTCAATTATTCGTATTTTCAAATGTGCATGAGTGTACGAAGCATGTTCTTCGCTACAGTATCTTATTATACCCACTTGGCTCTTACGGCCGGAACTTGCATGGAGTTTTCCATCGGAGATCCTTGTTGGTTCCTTCACAATTGCTTTGCTTCAACTTGGAAATAAATTCCTCCAACAGAATGTTCGTAGAATTTTTCATCTCAACGTCGCAAAGTTTTCAGAACAGAAGAGAATTGTTTAAGTGATTCTGAGAAGGGGATGTAATGGTGTTAAAGAAGGCAAAATGATCCTCAAAGTTCATTGATAATTTCTCTGCTTCTTCGTGTCTTTAAAATCTCATCGAAACATTTCGCAGCAAAATGCTTTCTGCGCGGAAGTGTTTGTATATATAGACTGTAGCCGGTAGTATAATGTGATTAACATGATTAATAAGATTTTTTCCTGCGGTTCTCTGCTTCTTAAAATGTGGTTTACATAATGACAAGAGCATTAATTTTGGTTTGTCTTGGCCGCAGTTTTAATTTAGTCGTTAGTATGGACGTGAAAGCTCGTAAAATAATTGGGCATGAGAATGCAACTAATAATGTTTAGAGTGGAATAAAGAATTTTAGTGTTATTATTATTCCTGTTTAAGGGAGGAATAAAAAAACATGGTTGAGCTTCCGGGGATTTGGCTAATCCCCACTTCTCCTATTGGCCAATATATACTTGTGTGTGTGTGTGTATTTATACAGAATTAATAGCGTGTCAACCTATCTGTTGTATATTAATACTTTTGTATGGTAATGCTCTGGTGTTGTGGTTTTTGTGCAGATACATCGTTGTAAAATTGGCAGAAGTACGCAAGGAAGTTCAATGCCCTATCTGCTTAGGTATGATTGATCCAATATACAAAATTTTTTTTTTTTCCTTTTAACATCAGTAAGTTAAAGAGTTCAATTAAGCATTACTGTTTCTCCTCTCCATAATGCACTTGCAGTAATCTTGTAAATATAGGAAAATTATCATGTACAGAATGAAATTATTTTATATATAACATGACATTCATAATACTAGAGTGTATCTGGTGTGACTTACTGTTCAAGTGTTCCGGTACATGATGAGAATCTCTGGTGACCTCGTTCTTCCACTTAGAACTCAAATTCAGGAATCATTGTCAAGTTTAATTTATTTTTTAATGACATCTTGTGCATAAATAATACATAACTTTTCTCTTATTGGTATGATTTCTAATCTGCCATGTATCCTGTACTATTGGTTTGCTGGCAGTATGAACTGATTGTTTCGCCTTAAACAAGGTGACATTGCCATTTCTAGTTCAGTCAGTGTCTCTCAAAATGTCGTTGAATTGCTATAAGTGGACTGCATACAAATTAAGTGCAAAAGCTGTCTTCTTCACATCAGCTGGTCATTGATCTAGATAGTGTATATTTTATAAGAAAGAATTCTATGGTTGACTTGATGGGAACTCATTTTAAAAGTAATCATCTTAAATTTTCCATCAGATTATTGACTTATGGATTATGTGTCGTCTCTCCAAGCACCATCTTCATGCTGAAGTGGTGGTTGTTCCGTTCTGTAGGCATCTTTGCAAGGCACAGAGCCTTCTAAAAATCTCCTAGTGTGACCTGCAGATGAAAAGATGCCATTAGAATCTTGAAATTCAAAATCCCAGACTTGGCTATCATTTTTAGGTTTAAAACAATATCAATGTCAATTGTACCATGTTTCTGATGTAATATCTTACCATTGTGCAAGATGCTTCGTTCACTTATTTATACCCATTACAGAATTTTGGAGAGCTGCATTTTGTCTCCAATTTATGTGTATATAAAGGGGCTCTGTTCTTACTGCTTATCCATCTAAATTACTGAAATAAAACCATATAAAGTTCTTTTTTCAAAAAAGAAAAACACATGAAGTTCTTGATGAAGTTACCCTTGTAAGAGGTACATTTCACCTCCATATTGTTTCACGTCGTTGAGGCATAATTGACTGGCTGTCTGACTTCATATAAGCATTAGAGTACTTTTTATTCTTGTTTCTTATGTTGACCTTTAGTGTTAAACTCTATTGTCTTATGGTTCAGGCTAGTGCTCATTTTTATTAGCCATCTGAACATTTTCATTTTCATAACCATCAGTAAGCAGTATCCTTTGTCCAAAATGAGGAAACAACTATTTTCTTTTCATGTGCAGGCATTATTAGGAAGACAAGAACAGTGATGGAGTGCCTGCATCGCTTTTGTAGAGAATGCATAGACAAATCTATGCGCCTGGGGTATGTACTCGGGCTATTACATATTTTTTTCTTTTCTTCTTTGTCAATTTGCATTGGGAAAAAAAAAAAAGAAATATCAAATTTCCTTACCTGCTCTTTTTATCTGGACGATCTAAAGAAGTTATTGACAATTGGTTCTATGAGCTGATAGCTCCAATTCTATAGATAGATTACCTTTTACTCTTGACTGTAGGAACAATGAGTGTCCTGCTTGCCGCACACATTGTGCTAGTCGACGATCGCTGAGAGATGATCCAAATTACGATGCCTTAATTGCAGCTCTATATCCAGATATCGACAAGTATGAAGAAGAGGTATATCGTGAGGTTGATCATTTGCATGTCAGATGGGAAATTCATTTAGCATGTCACTTTGATATGCTAAGCTCTTGTTGTTTAATATCTACTTCAGGAATTAGCTTTTCAAGAAGATGAGAAAGCTCGCAATAAGCAGGTAAGATATTTTGAGTTAGTATCTAGTCTGTGCTATTGACGTAAGCTGATGTACAGAGGAACTTGCTAAACTTTTCACCCTTGAATCTCATTGTATTCTTCACTGAGGAAGTGCATTACCTTTGTTTCTTATGATGCGCTTTTTTGGGTTTAAAATTAAGGCTTCATTATGCATTCTCATTGGCAATAGTCTGGAGATATTTATTTCATTGTGTGGGTTGAAGGCCTTATCTTTAGGTGCATGCGTACAGATACAAGCAAACATTGCCCAGACCTTAAGGCGACAATCAGAAGCTCTTGGTAGGAAAAGAACACATGCTAAATCCACAGCAGCTGCATTTGTGAGGAGATCACAAGGTAGCTACCGAAATTTGAGGGGGAGAAGAAACTTACGAAGTTCTGTGGAGAATCAAGGATCTGATGACAATGAGGATGCAAATGGTAATGATGGAAGCAAAGATTCATCATCTGCAGATGAGCGAACAGAACCGAGACCAAAAAGACCCAAGAGATGGTCAGGGTCCCGGTACTCCCAGCCTTCTTCGGCAGGAACTGGTGCAGATGGTGACGACAATGATTCTGAAGTGAACAGAGAGACCATGGGTGCATCTGTGGGTCTTGTTGGCAGCTCAGAAAGGCTTGCCTGGGGAAAAGGCGGTATGCGCAGTCACACACGACATGGAAGTAACAGCAGTAGCAATGGTAAGCATGCCAGGAACAGCCGCCTTTCAAAGTTGGGGGATCATCTGCGAAACTCCGAAGATATTAATAATGAGGTAAATTGAGCTTTTGGCTGGCTTTTTATCTAGTGGACTTTTCTCGTTACCAGGAATTACGAGGATCCTTTCTCTCTCTCTCTCTGTTTTTTTTAATCCAAATCCATTTTAGCTAATGCTGCAGAGTCCCACTCATTTGTTCATGTGCACACAAAGACATGCATGCACGTATCTAAGGATTTGTTTTTTTTGGTCCCTCTTCTAATTTGAGGAATATCGTTTGCTTTTGCACTGCAATGACTACTTCAGTTAGATATACCCCTCATGCTTGTTCCTATTGATGAGGAAAAAGTTCCGAGCTTGCAGCGGCCATATCTTTCCTGCAGGCCTACCCTGTCAGTTAGACACTTATCTGAGGTGATTCATATGAAACCCCCTCAACCTTCTTCTCTTTTTCCTCTTTTTTTTTTGTTTTTTTTTTCTCAATTTTCTTTTAGAGTTTAGATCATCATGCTGACATTGATTCTCATACGAATGCAGTATGTCGCTCTTCAAACTACATTGCAAGCTGATGAAGTTGAGATATACTTGGTAAAACAGCTTGACGAAAAGTTTAATCCGTCAACCGTTGCAAACATTGCAATTTTGAAATCCAGTGTATCAGACTGCAAAGAGAAGTTGCAAGTTTTGAAAGAGCAAGAAACTTTGGCAGAACTTAAAACTCACAGTTTTACGTGTGGATATGTGGTAAGCACTTTGTCCAGAATTTAGACTCACCTGCATCAATTCACTCTTGCATGCACAGACTGCGGACTGATTTTCACGCACAATTACAAAAAAATTAAAAAAAAAAAAAAATGGGGGCTTGTTTCATCACTTTTTTGTATGCATTGTTTTGCAGCTTCTAGCATATCAGAAAAAGTGGAGCTCAAAGTGGCAGTGCTAAACATTATTCTGCTGCCTTTGTTGTGACATTAATATATGAATTAAGTCTTATCGTTTGTTTTCACTATGGTACATATATATTCATACTTGCTTTGGAGGCTGTCAGGTAGGTTTAGTCTTATAGTTTAAGCACTCTAAAATATATCAGTGAATAGAGACGTGATGGATTTTTAGGAGCTTTGCAATGTAAACAGACAGATTTTAGAACTAGGAAAAATGGTTTTTGCTGTCCAATTTGTTCCTGCTTTATCAAGCATCTACGGATTATGATTTCCCTTGAATTTATCATCTTTTTTTTTTTTTTTTTCACACATATATAGACCAATTTGGTACGTTCTCTTTCCCCTTTTTGTCTCGCTTGTCTTTGGATAATTGGATTCGGTTGGGAGTGCAAGCAAAGCATATTGTGGCCCATGTGACTAAGTGAGAGACCCCATGAAAAGGAAATTTGCAGACAATTTTCTCTTTGCTTTCTATGTTTTTGGCTTCTAAATTCAAATCCAAACCCAAATTATACTAACAACCCGGATTTTAAAATTTTGAACCAGCTCATAATGTCTGAGGGAGAGGGAGTCATTGTAAAAACAATGCCACATTTGTAAGCAATTACTAAGCAATTAAGCATTCATTCAGCTGGTACAGACAGCATGAAAACATTCTCACGGCAAAAGTTATCGGAAATTAGGAATGCTACATACAAGGCTGAAGTATCTTCCCTCATTAAATTGCCACGAATGGAGGGATTTACGGCATCCTACAATTTAAACCAGATGACGCTTATGAAGCAAGTGTAACAATGTTGTAAAAGAAATTCTCTCATAATATTCAACCGTATATCATATGCACCGTTTGATTTATATTTCTATAGTTAGTTTTTGATGATTTTGACTTGTCAATAAATGTCTCTCTCGCTCACCAGAAGAGATTAGAGCTTAGAATCTTCTGATTTTGGCTGAGCAAATGTCAAGAGTCCCGTGCCCCAGTTACATTTGAATAAGAAAAGAAAACAATGACAATTTTGTGGCAGTTTTGAACCGAATATGATCAAAGTAGGGAGAAATAGAGAAATAGGTCAAGACTTAAGATGAATTAAAAGTAATAGACTAATAGTTTACATAAGTTAATAAATAGGCTAAATTACTGTTTTCGTCTATAATTTGTCTGGTTATGAACCATAACTTGACAAGTTATTGTCCATAAATCAGTTTTTGTTCTTAACTTGTCTGGCTATGAACCATAACTTGACAAGTTTATCTTATCTGGTTATGAATCATAACTTGACAAGTTATGACCTATTAATTTTTATAACTAAAAATTGACCTATCTACTTCTTTAAACTTTTCATATTGGCCTATTTTCTACCATTTCCGTTGGAAATATTGGCCAATTCCGCTCATATAATGTAATTCAGTTGACTTCAATGAAATGTCAATCTTTCCCTCGTTTTGTAATTGGATTAAACATTAAAAAAGAGAAGAAAAATGTTTGAGGGCCCGTTCGGTTCGCTAATTCGAGTTGAGATGTGATGTTGTGTGAGAGCTTTTTACTGTAACAAAAAAATTAAATGTGTCTGTTTCTGAGGGCTTTTTACTGTAGCAAAACTCGAATTTTAAACTCGAATCAGCGAAAAGAACGGGACCTGAGAGTTTCCGACTTTGTCCCGAGTGGCCTAGAAAAGTTAAGCACTTGGAATCAGTAAATAAACTAGTTAAATAAATCATAACTGGTTAGAATGTTTGCGCGTATAATGCAGTTCAGATTGTTAAAGTGTTCATTATACTAGCTCAGAAAAGGGACTGTAAAATATAAGGTGCATTTAAAATTCGTTTTAAAATAATTATGAAAACGTTTTTAATTTCAGATACAAATTATTTTTAAAAATACATTTAATAGTTTTATCAAAAAATTATTTTTAGTATAAAAAAATCTATTAATATATATCTCTATTCGAAAGAGAAGAAAACAAAAATAAAAAATAAAAAATGACAAAAAATCATTTTTTATTTCTCTCATTTTACACTAAATTAAAAAAATATTTTTATTTCTCTTTTTTTATCTTTAATTGTGTCAAATGTCGTTTCTCTTCCGTTTTCATTTTTTCTCAAAAAATGTAAAAAACAAAAACAAAAACTACAAACACAGTCATAATCTCCCAAATAAAATACAGCTCCATGAGATGATCTTTCCATTTTATTTCCATACTGTTGGGGATTTTTTCTTACTACCAAACAGGAGAAGTGGAAGAAAAGAAGTTGGGAGTAAGAATGTTAAACAGAAAAGAGAATATATTAAGTTGAAAGTAGAGAGAATTCAGAAAGGACATTGAAAATTCATGAGAATGATCTTTTTTCATCATTTTAACTTTGGAAAGAAAAAAAAGTACATATATATATATATTGCACATAACACATAATCATTAAACGACTATTTTTCGTTAATTATTCCTCACTCTTATTTCGTGTAAGATACCCTAGTTATAAAGATTTTGGGTGCGTTTGAAATTAGTTTTAAAACGTTTTTATTTTCTGTATGAGAATGAAAATAAAAACTTTTTTATTTTCATTTTGGAATCATTTCTGAAAATACGTTTAGTAGTTTTATTCTGAAATTATTTTCAGTTTTAAAAAAACTAAAATTGTGTTTGGTGGTTTAATTTCTGAAAACATGTAATAATATTTAAAATAATAATATATTAAATAAATAATAATATTAAATAATAATATATTAAATAAATATTATTATTCAATATATTAAATAAATATTATTATTCAATATATTAAAAATGAACGTGAATTTTTACATGGGGCAGTCGAAGAAGAGCGGCGGCGGTGGGCGAGGGGGCAGTCAGAGAAGACGGTGGCGGGCAGTCAGAGAAGATGACAGCGGGCCAGTCAGAGAGGAACGACGGTGGGTGTTCGCCGGATCTCCTGCCTCTTCTTCCTGGAGAAGAGAGAGAAGAAAAGAAAAAAAAAACTGAAATCCGTTTTCAACTGAAAACGTGAAAATGAAAACGAATTTTTTCCGTTTTCAGTTTTTTACAAAAAGACAAACGTTTTTATTTTTATTTTCTAACATATATTCCACCAAACACGTTTTTCATTTCTGTTTTTAATTTTTTGCTTCAAAAAATGTGAGAAATGAAAACAAAAATGCTAACAAACAATCCCTTTGTATCAACATTTTTTGTTTTTCCCCTCATTTCCGTTGAGCATCACAAAAGAGGAACTATTATCTCATTTCTTCATTTGAGTTTTTCATTTTCTCCTTTCCTTTTATTCTCTCTTACCAAACATGGTGTCTAAAAACAAGACAGCCCACCAACCACTTCAATATTCCACCTTACAAAACAATATTCCAACCTTATACAAAATTATAATAGCAATAATAATGACCCAGCATTTTTTATGTTAAAAAAGAAAAAGAGTGCCACATTAAACCAAAGGATTGCTTAGGTCCGATGAGGTAAAAACTGAAGCACGCAATCTCAACCATCATCGTTTGATTTAATCTCTTGATTTTTCCCCCTTAAAAAATTTGATTTAAAAAAAAAAAGAAAAAAAAAAAAAAAAAAAAAAAAAAAGAGAAAAAAATATGCCAAACTTGAGATGAATTAAAATTAATAGATCAATAATTTACATAAATTAATAAATTAACTAAATTATTATTTTCATCCATAATTTGTTTGATTATGAACCATAATTTGACAAATTATGAATTCATAATTCACGATTTTTATCTATAATTTATATAATTATGAACCATAACTTGACAAATTTATCCATAACTTATCTAATTATGAACTCTAATTTGACAAATTATAATCTATTAATTTCTATAACTAAAAATTAACCTAAACTTTTCTTATTGATTATTTTCTACTATTTCCAAAAAAACAAAACAATAATGCAAACACTTGGGACCACTCTCACCCAAGACAAGACCCCATTATTCAATTTTCTTTTCTTTTACTTTCAATTCAATAAGACCATTTCAACGTTAGATTTATAATGATAATCATTATTAAAGATGGCTTAAACTGGGTCGCATGTGGGTCCTACAAATACACCCTTTGCCTTATCTATCTTACACGTGGCCCCATCTCCCCAATTATTTCAATGACCCCTCCTATCCTCGTCCCCCAAAGCTTATCCTTTTCCCCATTATTTTACAGAGATAATCATCCAAAGTTGCAAACAAGATAAGCTAAAAATCATCATTAATTAATTTTACTTGAATATAGAAAAAGAAACATTACAAACTAAACATCATTTCATTTTATTGAATACCCATAAAAAAGATGCTCATCACCAGCGTTCAAGGCCAAGATCTTGACTAATTAAAACAGTAACACAAAATCTTACAGATTTATAATCATCACCACTCCAGAATACTCTCACAAATACGTACGGATCAAGCTGCAGGCTTTAGTATTAAAGTCAATCTTATCTTTAGCTCACAAAGCTCAAATCTAGGGCTTTCATTTTCTTTCATTCATTCATTTTTCTTTTTTGGGGGAAAATATCGAAGTCTTAGTTAAGCGACACGTAAAAATCAAAACCATTAGAAAACAGACATATAAACGTTGCCAGTACTGAACGAACGAAAAACGACACTATTTACATGCGGATCCTTCGTACGGCCGGGTCTCCTTACTGATGCTTACTCCTGGTCTCCCCGCTGTAAAGCCTGCCATAGACAAAAAAAAAAACATTACCAATGGTCTATTAAAAAAAAGTCACCTTTTTTTTTATCCGAATCTTATTAAAATTAGATCAAGATCAGTACTGCTAATCACAATATGTGACAATTACACAAGATCGTTATCGCATAACAAAAAAGAATGTAATTTTAACGCCTTTGTACAAAGATAATGATTCCAACACTAGTCAGTAATTTTTCCAACAATTTCAAGAAGAAAAGGTACGAAATCTTGTACGACAATATTCTTTACGAACTTTCTTTATAGGAGTCGTAAAGGGTTTTTTTTTTTCCCCCTTCCCTTTTCCGTTCTCTTCTTACTAGCGAGTGGACTTAACGCGCTGTGAAAATTAGAGTACGTACGCGCGTCTGTGTGTGTATATATGTTAATATATGTGCGTATATATCATATATATGTATATATATGTACCAGTCGTAGACAGTGGGAGAGTTGGGGGAGTCAGGCTTGTCGAAGAGGGCGGCGCCGATGCCCTTGGTGGCGAGGTTGCTTCCCGGGTGGAAGACGCTCCTCCAGACGTTATCCTTACGCGCCGAAAGCGGCGTCGTCGGCGTCACCGGCGTTCCTGGGCTCGCCGGCATCGTCATCGACTTCTGGTAAACCTTGCTGCTCGCCGTCGCCACCTCCCCTTCTCCTGCAACATATTACGAGTAACACCCATACAAAAAACATCATCAAAACCCAAACACATAACATATATACATACATATATATAAATAATAATAATAAAAAAAAAAGAAGTTATACCTTTGATGATCAAGGGAGAGGGCTTGGTGGTGGTGATCTTTCTGAGCTTGCCGAGGCCACGCTCGGGAGAAGGCCCAGCAACGACATCATCCCACAGTTTATCAAGCAAAACCATATTTTTTATTTATTTAATTTGCAGCTGATCTCTCACCTAATAATTATAACCAAATAAACCTCACACTTTTCTTTCTTCTACTAATTTTCAAAGGGGCCTTTTCCTGTAAGGCTCTCTATGCTTTATATAGAAGATGGTGATCATCATCATCCTCCTAAAAATATCTATTTAACTTTACCCTCACATCGTAATTAGTGGGCTTTTCTTCTACTACTTCCAGGTGTCGGTTATTTTTGTAGTGATTATTATTTACGAATAAGGGAAGCTTAAAAATTGACCATGAAACTGTTAAATTATTTATGTATGTTTGTCATATATATTGGTTAGTGTTAACTGCCCACCGGCGGAGAGGAAGTAGGAAAAATGGGAGTGGAGAGAGAGAAATATTGGATAAGAATGAGGACCTGGAGTGGTGGGCCCCGCTAAATAATATCTTGTCCGAGATCCTATGTGATTAGGTTGAAGGGTTGCTTCACAAGTGTACGCTTGGCTGGAACATACAAGTGTGCTTTGTCAGTAATGTGGGTCCACAGACATGGATGACATGCCTATAGAAAACGACAACGTAGACCCACATTTTAAATGATTCTGACCCCGTTCACTTTCGAGTTGAGATGTAATTTTATATAAAAATTTTTTACTGTAACAAAAAAGTTAGATATGACTGTTTCTGAGAATTTTTTACTGTAACAAAACTCAAATTTTAAACTCGAATTGATAAAGTAAACGGAACCTAAGATTTCCCTAATTATTAGCTCTAATTAAAACTACGTTATATTAAAAAATTAAAAAATAAATAATTATTATAGTTAATTTTTAGATAGATTATCAGAAAAAATCTAAATAAGATTTCTTTTTGAAAAATGTTATTTATCACGACGGGCATAAATTCCATGGACACAAGAGGTGGTTTTACATGGTGGGATTTACGTCAACTTCACTAATAGACTTATTTTTTGTGTCTTATAGAAATTTAACCCTATTAGAATGCATAATAATGCTCTTTTTTTTGTTCTATGATGTGAATATAGAGCATCTTTATTCATTTTTATAAATTAAAATTACACTATTTATATGAGATGAATCCTCTTAAATGATTATGTGAGACTGAACTTAATAATTATTTTATGAATAATGGAGTTCTATCCCATAAGGATGAATACTATCTTTGGTGAATATATGAGCCCCACTGCTAATCCTACTTTCTTTACTTTTACAATTCTTCATACATTAGTCGCAAACGTTTATTGCGGTAATTTTAATCCTTATTTTAAGTTCTTAATTTTGATAAACTACTCCATCAACTTTTCTTTTTTTAACAACTTTGGTACTTTATTATTTAATTAACGAACAGATAATCGCATCCCTATTGTATGATTATTAAAAAAATTATATATACGGTCACTATAAAATCTAAATAATAATGAGAAATTTTTGTATATGTCGTAACTTTTTTCTATAAAATTTTAAGTTAGTACTGCGCGATTAATTCATAATTATTTTTGTTAAATTATGAAATTTCATTGCCGATATTATTTATAGAGAATAAAGTTGTCACAAGACAAATAATGAGAGAATAACATGTTAAAATTAAAAATTGAATAACCAAAATCATTAAACTCAAAATCCACAAAGTAACAATCCCAAGTGTGTGTGTGTGTGTGTTTTCATTTCAATACCAAATCCAAAAGGTATCAATCTCCATACAATCATATACCAATCCGCAGATTGGATTTTGTCTTTCTCGGATGGAAGGATGTGGAGTTTTCTTATTATTATTATTATTATTTTTTAAATCCGGTGGAAATGGAAGGACCTGGAGTTTTATTGGTCAATGGAAAGATCTGGAGTTCTAGTAGAAAATGGAGCACAAAATACGGTTAAATATTTACTTTTACCTTAAAAAGATTTACCGTGTCCGTATATTAATATGACTTAAGTCCTGTTTAATCGATTCGAGTTTTATTATAATAAAAAATTTTTAAAAATAATCACATTTAATTTATTTATTATAATAAAAATTTTTTACATAAAATTACATATTAATTCAAATTAAAAATTTAAATTAACAAACTGAACGAGCCCTAAAGTAAAGAACCATTGAATCATCATATTAAAACATCTACAAGGAAGTCCATGATCGCTCAATGTTCTCGTCTACAAACACATGCATATGTGCTTGTCGGTGGCAGGTTTAATTCAAGAACATCATTTTATAAATACCACGTTGTTGATCCAAATATACACTCCACATAATCTTAACCGATTAAATTTACATTTTAGACATAATTATTATTTCAAAATTACCCTTAGTTATTTTCTTAACCACATTGTTCTCTTCACAGTCACCATTTTATTTTATTTTCTCACTTTAATATTATAATTTTTCTATCCCTCTCTAAGCCTTAAGCGTAAAGTTTTTTTAAGCAAACAAAGAAAAAAAGAAAAAGAAATCATTCAAAAAAAAAAAAAAAAAGGAAAACGGACAACAAAGCAACTCAACAAATAGATAAAAATAAATAAATAAATAAATAATGAAAAAAGGTGGCAGAAAGAATTTACGATATCAATTAAGGTATGAGCAACACAGACAAAACAATAAAAGAAATAAAAAAAATGCAAAATGGTAAAACACCATAAGCAAAACAAAGAACGTACGAAACCGGGGAAAAAATCCATGGAACTTTATTAAAAACGAAAAGAAAGCAAAAAAGAGAAAAAAAAAATCCGTACAAAAAAATAGAAAAAAGAACCTATTATTATTTTGTAAAAATATATAATTGCGCAATTAAATTTATCATAACTATCTATTTTTATCCTTCTATATGAGGTTCTTTTTGTAATAAAAAATTTTAATTCAAAAAGGATGTGCCAATCAAAAGGGACATATGAATAAAACTACCTTACATAAGTGATTTACTACATTTAGTTCATGGATTAGAATTAGAGGTAGCAATTCGTGTCACGTGTCGTGTTCGTATCGTGTTTTGATCATTTCTTTCTAAATTTGCAGTCAATCCCGAACACGACTCGTGATACGAAATTTTTTAAAAACCGCAACACGAACACGACACGACCACTTTACGGGTTGACACGACACGATACGAAAATGACCCATGACACGAAATTGACCTGTGAACCCGAAATTGACACGAAAATTATATACTTTTATTTAGTTTTTTACATATTAAAAATAACTTAAAATTCATAACACACTAAAATACAATAACATTTATTGAAATTAAGCAAATAATACTATAAGATTTTGAGTATAACTATCATGATATCATAAGCTCATAATAAAATCAAAATATGTAATGAAAAAATATGTATTTTTTAGTTTTTTACGAGGTTCGTGTCGTGTTCAGGTTAGGCGGGTCTAACCCGAAATTGACCTGTGTTTTTCGTGTCAATTTCAGGTCGACCCAATTCTGACCCGAACCTCTTTTTTCTCCACCCTAACCCGTGAAATTCGTGTCGTTTTCGAGTCGTGTTGTCGTGTCGTGACCCATATTGCCGGCCCTAATTAGAATCATGTGATTAGAATTATTTTTAATTTACGAGTATTTTTTATAAGAGAAAACACTGTAACGAATCATAAACCATAATTCAAATCATGATTTAAATCCTCCAACCAAACATCTTCCTCTCACACCACTTCAAAGTGGCCAGCTTATCGCTTATTAAAAAAGGAAAACGCCAGCTTATTCAATTGGCAGTTGTCACAGGGTATGCTTCCTCTATTGGGTTTCCAATATCACCAATAAATTGGACTAATTATCAAAAAGAAACGCGTAAAAAATAGCCAGAGTTTTCAATTGAAACTTTATGCTCATTAGTGTCGAAGTGGCTCAAATTATCGACCATTTTGTCACACCTCTCATAGAAAGACTGAGGGAATTGATACCAAATGATGCAGCAAAGTGGAAGACATAGAATTTTACCTACCTAATTTGGAAGGAAAATAGGACTCAAAAGTTTAAATTTCACCTAAAGAATCTCACAATGAGAAAACCCTCAAATCGTAGAAAAAATTCAACTTTAATATTTAATATTTTAATAATCAAGTCTCATGTTATAATAGTTAATGCGGCTATTTATAATTCACTTTCCAAAAGACAATCAATTAAACATTAAAATAAAAAAACTAATAAAGCACACGCCAACTTGTAAATTTTTGAATGAAAGCCCAATAAGCTAAATGACAGTATTCTCCTACATCATATGATTATATGTACTTATTGAAGGATTCAAACTATGATTTGAATCATGATTCATGATTCGTTACAGTGTTTTCTTTTATAAAAAATACACGTAAATTAAAAATAATTCAAATCACATGATTATAATGCATGAACCAAACACCTAAACATAAGGATTCTGTATAATTAAAGATAAAAAAGAAAGAAAAAAAAAGGACTCACACGGAGTTTGGTGTTTATTTCTCTGATTTGGCATAGGCACAAAAAGTAACAAACTATTAGATTTTGTTTAAGAAGAACAAAAAATTAGCATTTGAATCATATTGTACTCTTATCTCTACATAGTTTGAACTTCTTTTTTTTTTGATAAATAGTTTAAACTTTGTTAATGTGTTCAATATAGGATACGCCTTAGAGGCCTGTATTTAGCATAACGATTGGTTTGTGCGTTATTTTAACAAATTAATTAAGAATGTGTTTGTAACACTAGGAAAAAAAAAGAATATTGATTACGTTATTTGACGTTGGAATTGGTGTTAAAGAGATTATCATAAACGAAAGAAAGTCTTAAAAGAAAGGCTTTTTTGCTTGATTGATCATAAACGAAAAAAAGTCATAAAGAAAGGCTTTTTTGCATGGTTATCGACTGAGCATGTCGTCTTTGGCAAATCAGTCCTTAAATTAAGAATTATAGCAATTCTCTCTCTCAACTTTAAAATTTGGGGCTACTACACATACAACAAAATTTCAATAGTAGAAGTTTTAATATAACAATTTTTAAAATATTATAAGAATAACACAATTTTGATATCATTAAAATAATTATTATATCATTACATAATATATAATGTGACATTACTATGATAATGACCATGTCATTTTTACTA